AACGGCTCGGAGAGGTCTTTCCCAATTCTGACGGAGCTGGTGGTATTGCTCAACGTCATTTTACACAGCCGTATCAGTTTGGCGGGGATACCAAATTCCGACGNGATGTCATCGGCATAAGCCAGCAATTGCACGCTCTTGTAGTAAATTGTCCATGAGCGGTTCAGTTCTGAAGCTCTTCCAACATCATTTTAAAGAAGTCACATGAAAGAGGGTCGTCCTGTCTGAAGTCCCGTTTAGTAGCGAACGGCTCGGAGAGGTCTTTCCCAATTCTGACGGAGCTGGTGGTATTGCTCAACGTCATTTTACACAGCCGTATCAGTTTGGCGGGGATACCAAATTCAGACATAGCGGCGTATAGGCAACTCCTTTTAGTGCTGTCGAAAGCGACTTTAAAGTCGAAAAAATAGGTGGTGAGTGTCGATCCTTTTCTCGCAGGTCTTTTCCAAGATTTGGCGTATTGTGGATACCTGGTCTATGGTGGATTTTCCAGGCCTAAAGCCACATTGATAAGGCCCATAAAGTTCATAACGGTGGGCTTCAGTATTTCACACAATACGCTCGATAAGGCCTTGTAACCTATGCTTAGAAGGCTAATCCCGCGGTAGTTGGCGCGAATGGCGGGGTCTCCTTTCTTGTGGATTGGGCGGAGCACACTTAAATTCCAGGTGTCGGGCATGCGTTCATCTGACTATATTCTGCATAAGAGTCGATGCATGCACCTTTTCAACTCCTCGCCACCGTACTTGAATAGCTCAGCTGAAGGGTTGTCAGCTCCAGCAGCTTTGTTGTTTTTCAGCCGCGTTATTGCTATTCATACCTCGTTATGGTCAGGCGGAGGAACATCGACTTCCGTCATTATCGACTGGGGGCTCGGGTTCTTATTCTCCACAACTTTCCGTGCTACTACCATTCAGTAGCATGGAAAAGTGTTCCTTCCATATTTTAAGTACGTTCTGAACAAAGGTAACTAGGTCGCCATTGTAGTTCTTACAGGAGTACGTCCTGGTATTGGAAGCTTTCCTCTGGTAAAATTTTCGGGCATTCTTCCTATCGGCCAGCAATTCAAGCTTATCGTACTCACGAATTTCGGCCTCTTATTGCCTTATTGGCCTTAT